GTTTTGATTTGCATGATCATTTTCTTAATGTGTGGAGGACCATACTTGCTTGCTTGATATTGAAATTTTGGAAGATTGCTTGGAAATGGTTGAAAAATTGCATACTTGAGGTAGTTTTCTCCCAATGCTTGTTTGCAATATTGGTACCTCTTTTGTGAGAATGAGCTTAATGTTTATGGGTATCATTTTTAGAAACCCTCACGAGACTTCACTTATCCACTAGGGGTAACCTAGGGGTTTAAAAGGCTTGTTGCATGCGCTAAATGCAATCGTGTTCCCTATGAAAGTGACGTTATCTATTTATTGCTTTCTAGTTCATAGTTATATAGTTGTTCATTTCATTCCTTTACTTTGTAGTTCATTACTAGGGACTAGCAATATTTAAGTTTGGGGGTATGATGAGCGGTAAAAAGTGTGTATTTAAACCCCTTAAGCTTGAGTATTATAGGACCTTATTCTATCGTATTTTCCCGTTTTAGTACTTATTTGTGTTTTTGTCTATTTCAGGTCAATAATGTTAAAACGGGCTAAAAATGGTTTATTAAGGCCTTTTTGGAGTCAAACTAAGTCTTAGTGAGAATCTGGAGCAAAAAGAGGTTGATCTAGGGCAAAAAGGAGGCTGATACTGAAAACTGCCAAATGAGATCGATCGGAAAAAAATGAGATCGATCGGAGTCTGATTGACCGAAGAAAAGTTTAATTGATCGAACCAACTCTGATCCATCGTAGAAAAGTCTGATTGATCGAAAATGTGCTGGTAGCGAGTTGTTTTATTCTCGCGCACCCGAACTCCACCTACCACATTGTTGCGGAATTAGATATTTTTGGGCTGTATTTCTGACTTAGTGACTAAGAAAAGGACTTTATATTTAAAGGAAATTGAACCATTTTGTAAGAGAGCTTTTTCATCATTTTATTTTTACATTGTAATTTTATTTTCTCTCTCTAGAAAAGTTAGAGATTAGGGTTAGAAGAAAAGAGAAGAGTGGAGGCTCCAAGAACACATCTCTAGATTTACACACACTCTCTCTCTAGAATTCAACAAAGAAGAATAGGAAGAAGATGGAGCCATGTTTGGGGATTGCCCTTAAGGGTTTCAAGATCACACCCACCTCTTCCATGATTGGTTAGACTTCCCCTTGGCGCTTAGATGAGCCCCAAGTTTGTAATCTAAACCTCTATCTTTTTCATACTTTTTGGGGAATAATATCTTATGATTAGTGTTTTAGCCTTGTGAATTTAATGAATCTTGGTATATTTCTATGATTTCTATGGTTTAATTCTTTCTATTAATTCTCTAGTTTATTTACATGTCTATGTGTGATTAAATTGGGAATTATGTCTTGCATGATTCATATGGATTAATTTTTTCTATTGATTCTCTATGTGATTACATGTTGTCTTATGTGTGATTATTTGGGAATTGATCTCTACACAAGTTTTTCTACATTAATTGCATGTCTATGTGTGGTTGATTGAGAATCTAGTGATGGCTAGACATGGTTTTTATTAGATGGGTTTGTCAATTGATTTGATGGATTATACTTATGCTTAATAGGTTGTTCTACAATTTAATTCATGCTTGCAGGTAGGTAGATAATATATACTTGATTTGATATTCCATAGCTTATTATTGCAAATTCCATAATTCTCTAGATTGATGTGTACTACAATTGTGACTAGTTTGATGGGTCATACTTAGAATTGATGGGTCGTTCTACACTTAGTTTAATTGTTGGTTTGGTAGGAAAATCATTATTGAATTTGATGGTCCATGCTTAATATGCAATTGGTAGTCGCATTTTGTTCACAAGAATGTTTTCCCCAAATTAGTTGAAAGTGTGTGGTTTGGTGAACGAGCTTGGTGGTAATTCCAATGCATCCCAAGACCTCACTTCTCATCTCTTAAATCCCTATCTCAACTTAGTTTATTTTAATTAATTGAATTTTAGTGTAATCAAACAATCAATCTCTTCTTTGCAATCTTGTGATCCACTAGAGTTGAAGTTAAATTCCAACACGTATAATCCCTTGGGACGATCCCTACTCACTATTGCTACGTTAGTAGTAATGGTGGTAGTGGTTTTTATAAATTTAAACTTGACCTAAAAGGCTTTTCTGGAACCGCACATTCATTACATTATTTTGGCGTATACAAGCGGCCATCGTCATGAAACTACATGGTTATGTAGTTTCAGACTTTGCTGGTAAGGTGGACCACAAAAGAAGTACTACCGGGTATGTGTTTATGGTGAGTACAACTGCCGTTGGTTAGGTTTTGCAAATACAGAGGATTGTAACGTTATCTACTACAGAGGCAGAGTATATGGCGATGACAGAGGCCAGCAAGAAGATGATTTTGTTACAAGGTTTGTTAACAGAGTTGGGATTCAAACATGTGAAGAATGTTTTCCAAAGTGATAGCCAGTGTACGATACATCTGGCAAAGAATTTAACATTTCATTCAAGGACCAAACATATAGGACTTCAGTATCACTTCATCAGATCTTTGTTAGAAGATGGGTTGTTGATACTTGAGAAAATACTTTGCATTAAGAATCCAGCTGACATGTTGACCAAGACAGTGACCATAGAGAAACTGAAGCTGTGCGCAACTTCAGTCCGTTTTCTAGCTTGAAGATAGAGAGAAGAAAATAGAATGAGTTTACAAGTGCTCCAGCCTCCAAGTGGTAGATTATTGTGGTTTTGTGGAGTCTGATTGGGTAATTGATTTTTAAGAAGATTTATTATATCAAAACTTCAAGACTATTGAAGTTTAAGAAAAATTCAGTTTCCTAATCTGATTTAATTTCCTTATTGGTTTTGGGAAAATTCAATTTCCAGAATTGTTTTAACTCCCTTATTGGTTTAAGGAAAATTTAGTTTCCTGATCTGATTTAACTTCCTTATTGGTTTTGAATTCTACGAAAGACAATTTCTTATAGGAAAAAGTATTGGGGCTATATATATCAACTCTAATTAGATCTTAGGGTGTGCTAAAATATAAAGACAAAAAAAAAAAAAAAAAAAAAAAAAAAAAAAAAAAAAAAAGGAGAATCATGATACGTATTGTGTGATTGATTAATTTCTGCCAATACAAGAAACAGCAATTGAGAGAGACTGAGAGAAAATTCTCCATTGTAATTCTTCATCTTCTTCATATATAGTGAATTTGTTCAGTGTGCTCTATGGACATAACCCTAAGATCTGGGTAAAGCATGTATATCTTATGTTATTGTGTGTGATTTTTTTTATTCTTCATGATTGCTTATTTATTCCTTGAATATCGTTGTTTATTTTGCATTTCCGCCCCAACAACTAGTATCAAATCTGGTTGATTGTGCAAAGCAACTCCAACACTAGATATGTCCATCCCTTTAGTACAAAAATAACTTATTTTTCATATATACATAAAGAAGTATAAATTAAAACTTCAAACAAATTATAATTATTTAAGGGTCTATAGTGTAACTTTGTCCTTTACAGCTACTTTAGTGATAGTGTAAACTTTCACAAAAGGAATAGGTATATATACACACAAAAACTTACATACGCACAAACACTATTGCCAATCATCTAATGGCATTATAATATGGTCCCTTTTTGCTACCAAACTTAGCAGTAACACTATTGTAGCCAGTGGTATGTAGACTTTGATCATTGAACAAGTGTAATGTCTCTTCAGCATACAAATCTACATTTACCCATGGTGCATCAACATCTTCAGGTATGGTTACAAATTCCACCTTTAAAGACGTTAGATTTGACTTATCTGACAAAATTATGATTTCTTCATATTCATTTCAATTTGAAAATGAAATCAAATATTATGATAATTGTGTTCATGTTGTGGAGAATGATGAACTTCGCTTGAAGAAAGTTGCTCCAAAGAAGTATGAGATTGAAGCTCAAGATGATAAGAAATTCTCAATTATTTTTTAAAAAATATTTTGGAGAATTTTGTAATTGACATAGGTTGGGTGGATATGGAGTTAATTTTTGACTTTAAAGAAGAAGCACATGTGAAGTGGAAAAGTCATAAAAAATTCTAAAAGAAAAAAAATAAATGGTACATTTGTATAAAGAGGATGATTTATGATTGTGAGAAGTCATCAAACAAGCATTTGAAGACTTTTTACAAGCCATATATATCAATGCAAATGGCCAAGATAATTGTTGCAGTTGAAGCAGGTAAAATTGAAGATCAACCAACGAACTTTTGTTCAAGTCCCCAAGATCAATAAGAAGTTTATTTAAAAGTTACAAAATCATGTTTAAAGGGGGTGTTGGAAATTAAACTTGATTATGTGCTTTTTAGTGTTTTTTGAAGGTTAAAAGTCCTTTAATATGATGTGTTTGTGGGAGTTTGTATTTGTGTTAGTAGAAGACATGAGAGTTAAGTCTACTAAATACTATGTTAGTGGGATTAGTGTGAGTAATTGGACATTGAAATGTAATTAGTTACATATGTCTTAGAGTCCATATAAACTCATGTACTATATCTATTTTAGGTGAGTAGAAGAATAATATGAAGTAGTAGAAGTGAAAAACAATAAATTTTCAAGCATTTCTCCATATCCTCTTCGCTTCCTAAATATTGAGTGTTGTGTGTTTAGCCCACTTATTTTCAACAAAGTGGTATCACAAGAGCAAATCCAACAAAGTGGTATCAGAAGAGGAAAACCAACAAGGTCATTGGTCGTCTTGTTACTAAAAATTTTCTTGCTGACAATTTTAGCTGAATGCCATTGATTTAATTGTATTTACCCTGTTTTTGGTATAGAACTATTCTTTATATGTAACAAAACTCCAACTATACACACAAAATAACTCATTTTTCATATATACATAAAGAAGTATAAGATAAAACTTCAAACAGATTATAATTTTTAAGGGTCTGTAGTGCAACTTTGTCACTTGCAGCTACTCTAGTGACAAAGTGTACACTTTCACAAAAGGAGTAGGTTATATACACACAAAGAATTACATACACACAAAAACTATTGCCAATCATATAATGGCATTATAGTATGGTCCCTTTTGCTAGCATACATAGCAGTAACACTATTGTTGTCAGTGGTATGTAGACTTTGATCATCGAGCAAGTATAATGTCTCTTCAGCATACAAATCTACATTTACCCATGGATGCTTCTCCGTCATTCTCAATATTCCCTCCAACTCGATTGCTACATCCTTCATAGTAGGCCTTTCCTCTCCTTTTACTCTTAAGCACCTCTTTGTGAGCTTAGCAACTTCTTTGAGCTGCTCAATCTTTTCCTCATTGCCTACTCTATCCTCAAAAATTTTGAGCAAGTGATCTTCTTTAACAGAAGAAACAAAGTACATCGCTAGGTTTCTGTCTTTCTCAGGCCTTTCAAAAGAAAATGCCTTCTCTCCTATTGTTAGCTCAGCTAGGACAACTCCAAAGCTATAAACGTCACTCTTCTCAGTCAATTGACTCGAACGGAAGCACTCTGGATCCAGGTAGCCAATCGTCCCTTGCACCAATGTGGTTATCTGAGTACTATCCAAAGGAACCAACTTTGAAGCTCCAAAATCAGACACCCTTGCACTGTAAGTATTGTCTAGTAGTATATTGGTACTCTTAATATCTCTGTGAATTATTGAAGGTGATGTTGCCGAGTGCAAGTATGCAAGTGCTCCAGCAGCTTCCACTGCTATTTTAATACGAATTTCCCATGAAAATAAGGCTGCGCGTTCTTCATTGTGAATATGGTCAAACAGTGTTCCATTTTCTATGAACTCATAAACTAGTAAAGGGACTTCTGTCTCTAAACAACATCCTAACAGCTTTACCACATTCCTATGGTTGATTTGAGAAAGAATGACCACCTCATTTATGAACTGCTCAATCTGGCTTTGATCACTTATTTTCGACTTCTTAATTGCAACAACTCTATTATCTGTTAAAACCCCTTTGTATACTGTTCCAGAGCCACCTTGGCCTATTACTCTACTATGGTCGTAGTTGTTGGTAGCCTTCTTGAGATCTTCAATGGTAAAGATTCTGGTCGTTTCAGCTGAGCCTTCATATTTGGAGAGCTGTTGTTGCAGCATAAATCCACCATTTTTCCAGAAGAAATTTTCTCTAAGTTTTATGAGCTTTCTTTTCTTCATTGTCCAATATATCCAAGAACTTCCAAGTACTAGCACTAGAAGGCCTATGCTTGTACCTGCAATAATTTAATATGATTGAAAACTATCAAACATCAAAGTTCTAATAGGTTCTTTCATATCCTAGCAAATAAACGTTAGGAGTACTCTAGCATGGCAAATCTGAATACTAATTTCATTCCTTGAACCATTCCAAAGTAAACATTACATTATATAAAATATTGTAATTGTTTCTTGAGCTTCTGGAGGGACAAAATATCGGAAGTCTTAACATAATTTTCTAGTCAGGTAAATTTAATTCATTATCTGTGTCTCACCTGTACAGAATTGGTAGGATACAAAGACAAGAGACAGGCATCATTTTTGACATTATTTTTACAAATTGACTTCTCTAGACTCGAATCCAACATTCTTGATCACAATTTTGCCGAAATTGTCAGTTAGTCTGAAAATTCCTGAAATTTATAGACAATTCTCGTGTCATGATGATTTTGTGACAAAGAGCGTTGTAACCTAATGATATTTCATCTACCACCCAAAATGGATGGTGATGGCAAATGGCCGTGAGTTTCTTGCCAAGAAAAATAAATAATAATAAAAAAAGAGAGAATGATGATTTCGTGGCTTCTTTAAAGAACTAATATTAATTTTAGCTTAATAATTCATTTTATAAATGTTCATACCCCTTGGCTTCTTTAAACAGAGTTAGTAGGTGTGTTCAACAATAATTATCTGTCCTTATTCAATTATTTAGACAAAAAATAATGAGATTTGTATAAGAACTAAAACAAACTGGACCATAGACCAGTGGTATAACAAAAATCATAGAACAAACAAAATTCTTACCTAAAGCAACATTAATCAAGGTAGATCCCCTAGATTGACCTTTGAGATGGCAACCTGTTCCATTTTTCATTCCATCGCCTTCAAACCCTTCTGGGCATGAACATGCAAAACTCCCCGGAAAATTTGTGCATGTTTTGTTGCAGGGATTTGAAGTTTCACACTCATTGATATCTGGAAAAACAAAAAGGGATCAAAAATTAAAAATGAAAAAAATTCATTCACTGGGAAGAACAGCATATATTTCATACTCAAATAAGCAAATACACTAACATGAAATTTACATATATACACTACCTTGGCAGCCATCAATGAGGTAAGGGTTCCCTTGAAAACCTGATGAGCATAAGCAACGATACCCCGGTCCATTGGTTGAATTGTAGCATCTGCTACGCGACGCTTGACACGCATAGTTTGATGAGTTTTTCATAGCTTCTTCACATGTCTCATTTCCCACAGCCCAATCAAGCACCACAGGGACAGTCTCTCTCTTCTGCAAGTCCTTCAGATCTAAAGACGAAAAACTGAAAGCTGTTTCTTCCACTACGAAACCATAACCACATGGATTAAAGTCCATTACAGTGGAATGATTTTTCATGCTCGTGACAGCCACTACAAAATCTCTTGATCCTTGTGGTATTGAAGTCTGGCAGCATCCCCGGTCAGAACAAGATCCATTAACGACACTCCCAACGCGGTCACACACGGAAAGACATCCAGTTGTGTAGTTCTCTAACTCAAAATCTTGCACCACAGCAACTGTGTCGCACCCAACAGCCGTGAACTTGTTCAACGTGTTAGAAATGAAGAAATCAGTCAAAACGAGGGTTGATGTGCGATCATAGTCCGTGCTGACACGAATACCGGACTGGTTGTAACAGTCCCGTGCCACAAAGGATGAGACTCGCATTAGGCCATCAAGTGATATGTCAAGGATTTCTATAGGATCATCAGTTTTGGGTACGAATGGTTTTGTTGGGTTGTAATGTGTGTCGTTACAAGTGATGAGGAAAGAGGGATTGAGGGAACAATCAGAAGTTGTGCCGAAAGGGAAGGGGATGCTGAGGTTTCCGCAGCTGGATGGGCAGTCTGGCTTGGGCTGAGGCGGTGCTGCTGCTGTTGGTTTTGCTGCTAACATTGCTGCAAGCAATGTGAATTGCACTAGTAGTATTTCTGGGCAACCCATGGAGCTTGTTTTTATCTTTATATATGAATTGCACTAGTAGGTTTGGTTAGATGAAAATAGCTTGTGAAGTGTTTGGGATCTAAACGTGTGTGTATATATAGAGAGCTCAGAGAGGCCTTTTTACGAGTCTAGATAGGAAAAAGTATTGGAATAGCGAAATTGTCTATTTTTCAACCGAAAAATTAAATGTTTTCTTCAAAATATACTGAGAAATATATATTTGTTTGGTTCAGTTCTAAATGAAATGAAAAGCTATTTTCAGATGATTATAAAAAATATTTTATGAAAATAAATTTTTTTTAATTAAATTTTTAAATAACTAACAATCAAACGAATTTCTATACAATTTTCTGATTTTTAATAAATAATCATCTGTTTTCTCATAAAAGTAAAGTCAACGAGCAATTTACCTTTCACAAATATATATATATATTTATAGAAACAGTACTTCCACTATAAATAGTTTTCTGAAAAGAATTTTTAAAAGGTAAGAGTTAAAAAACACATATTTTATAGTCTTAGTTTTTATGTTTTAGTTCTGAGTTTTTAAAACAATTTTATGATAATAAACCAAGCAAAACCTTATTTTATTTATTTATTTATTTTCAATAAACTTACAGATTTACAACTACTTTTTAGTATTATTTTATTGGTCAAGTGGAGAAAACACCACTAAAATATGTTTACTGTGCATATCACATCCCTTACGTGCAAAAAAAAAACCCCTAAAATTTTAATTTGGTGCAAATAGGTCGTGACAAATTTAAATCCTAAGTTGATTAAATTAACCATTTTATAAAATGTATAAAAATAAATAATTTTGTAAAATGACCGAAAAGAGCACTATTGGAGGATGCTCCTCTAATGCAAAAAACACCTCTAAAGTTTTGATCTTGTACAAATAGGTCCCTCTGACAAGTTTAAACCCTAAATTCACTAAATTACATTTACTAAACCTTTTTATAAAATATATATAAAATATTATTTTATAAAATTACTGAAAATGATACTATTGGAGGACGAGGGCAATGGACAAGTAAAGATAAAAATATAAAATAAATAAATAAAAAAAAAGTAAAGATAAAAATAGAAAATAAAAAAACAAAAATAAAGTGCAAACTAAAGAAAACAAAATTTTTCCAAATTCCGAAAACAAGTGCACACTCATATTGGGATTTTTTTTTTTTTTGTTGATTAACAGTGTTGGTACAAAAAAAATTAAAATAAAGAAATTAAAAATTTAGTAGAAAAGAGTAACTGGAATCTAAAAAAATTCAAATCGTTATTCTACAAATTCTCAAAGTTATTATAAAAAAAAAATTGTTTGAGATATACATGGAGAAAAAAGTTTACAAAAAAAAAAAAAAAAAAAAAAATATAATGTGCACATAACATCCCTATACTATGAGATTAGTAGCAATATATCATCTTGAACATATATTTTCGAAATAGTAAAATAACAAAACGGGTATTATAATATTAATATATATCAGATAAGGTATTTTTGCACAATGTGAAAAGATTTATAATATTTTTTGTATATTTTTTTAAATAAAAAGTAAAAATACTAGGCGAAATATACTTTTAAAGTATTTTATGCACTTATCTCATTATTTTATTCCAAACCAACATAATTTAAAGGAACAATTCTAGTCCAAGTTACGTTAAGGAGGACTTGGTCTTGGATGTATTTACTTAATTAAGGAGGACTTGGTGTGTCAATTCAATATGGACTTTTTTATGTGCCAGATTTATCTGTGTTGTCATGGTCGATGTACTATGGATAGAGAAGTCTAACGTATATATCATTGTCACCATAACAAGGTGTAACGATGTGAGTGATGATTACCAAGTCACCTTTGAAAATCTTGCAATGAATTAATAAAAATCAAGATAGAGGAGGAAAACATTTGAGTGGCGTTGTTTTTGCTTATAAGTTAAGGTTGATGATCTCCGCATAGCTTCAATTCTCTCTATTTTAATGAACAACAAACTAATCGAAACACTGTAGAATTGTGCGAAATGTTTCCATTTTTTTTTTTTTTTTCTTAATTTTAAGATAGTTTGTATGTTCGGCTTATATATGACTGGCACGTAACACTGTCTATTTTAATTAAGGTAAAATTTGTCAGTGTCTTTTTATTTTTATAAATAAATTCGTCAAAGTCTACTTGTAAGAGATATGACTGATAGTTTCTTATACTGTAAGATATGAACACATTTTTAATCATGTGACAGCATTGTTGGAAGATTTGGACTGTGTCAAATAACTCAGCAAGGAAGACGAAATGATGGATACTATTGGCAGTGACGGAGTCAGCATTTCAAGTAAGGGAAGGCCCACTGTCAAACAAAAAAATAAATAAATAAATAAATAATACGGAATACACACACATATATATAACAACTATAAAATTCAAAAAGACAAAGAAGAAGAAAATTATTAAAATATAAAAGGAAAAAAAAATGAAAGAACCTTAATAGGAAATAGTTAAAAAGTTTTAATTGAGGAAGAAAAATTTGACTTTTTCTACTAAGGAAATTTAAGGAATGTGAAGAGTAAAAGAAAAAATAAGAATATAATTTTAGGAACTATAAATTTGAGGGGGCACTATATAAATTTTTTTATATATATGAAATTACACATATATTATAGGTTACTGACCAACTCAGGGTGGGCACGTGCCCCCCTAGGCCTTCATTGGCTCCGTCCCTGACTATTGGTAATTATATGAATGATATGCATATAATTGGGACATGTTGACTTTCGGGAAGAAAAAAAAAAAATAAATAATAAAAAAAATTCTTTGGACCTTGTAAACTTTTGGGAAAAAAAAAAAAAAAAAAACAGTCGAACCTTGTAATTTTACTCTTAAACAATTGACATTGTTAGAATATATTGTATACTAGGATTATGATTACCATGTATAGAGTTACCATATATATATATAGGTTTTAATTGTTCACCACACATAATCCCTCCTATATATAAAATCAATACAATATTCATTTATTTATTTCTAGTATGGTATCAGAGCTGTACATGTACATCTTAATGATTTCTATTGCTATCATGCCCTTGCAACTTTACATGAAACTCACACTTTTCATTAAACATCTTCTAACCCTTTGTGGCAACAAGCAATGAAAGAGGAATTAGATGCACTAACCAAAACTCAAACATGGGATCTGGTTGATTTGCCTCCTGGAAAGTCTGTAATATAATGTAAATGGGTGTACAAGATCCAGACTCATTCAGATGGGTCTGTTAAGCCCTACAAGGCCTGACTTGTAGCCAGAGGATTTACACAACAGTATGGCATTGATTTTGAGGAGACATTTGCTCCTGTTGCACGTCTTCCCTCTGTTCGCATTTTTATTGTTCTGGCTGCTTCCTGTCATTAAGGACATTTTCAGATGGATGTTAAGAATGCATTTCTCAATGGAGATTTACTTGAGGAATTTTATATGCATCCTCCTTCAGGTTATCATCATCCCCCTAATAAGGTGCGTCGACCCCGTAGGGCTCAATATGGCCTGAAACAGGTACCCCGAGCTTGGTTTGCCAAATTTAGCCATATTATCTCTCGTCTTGGGTATTCTGCTAGCTATTATAAATCAGCTCTATTCATTCAATGCACTAACCGAGGTATTATTCTTCTTTTTACTTTACATTGATGATCGATATGATCATCATTGGAGATGAATTGACGGGAATTCAGGAGCTCAAACAGTTTCTCAATCATTAGATCGAGATGAAGGATCTTGGACCCCCCAGTTATTTTCTTGGTTTTGAGATCCCTACAGCTATAGATGGTTACTACCTCACCCAGGCAAAATGCATATCAGATCTTCTTTCGAATTCAAGTTTAACTGACAACAAGATTTTTGATACACCATTTAAGCATAACACAAGACTTAATCTAAATGATGGCAAATGTCTTCGAGATTGTACATTGTATTAAAAATTGATTGGTGGTCTAGTTTATCTCACTGTCACCCATCGAGACATCTCTCATGCCATCCACAGAGTTAGTCAGTTCATTGCTGCTCCCAGATCTACTCATTTTGTTGCCGTTGTTCGCATCCTTCGCTATCTCAAAGGCACTACGTTTTATGGGCTTTACTTTTCTTCTCAATCGTCACTTATCTCTTGGTGCATCAAGAAACAAACTGTAGTTGTTCAATCTAACACAAAAGCTTAATACATGGTACTTGCTGATACTACGTCTGAACTTTTGTTATTCCATTGTCTCCTTTAGGACATGAGAGTTTCTTCATCCATTGCCACTCTTATCGATTGTGATAATAGGAGTGCAATTCAAATTGTGCACAATGATTTTTTCAGGAGCGTAGCAAACATGTAAATTATTGGGGCTATATATATCAACTCTAATTAGATCTTAGGGTGTGGCAAAAAATTAGAGATAAGAAAAAAGAGAGGATCATCATACGTGTTGTGTGATTGATTAATTTGGGTCAATACAAGAGAGAGCAATTGAGAGAGATTAAGAGAAAATTCTCCATTGTAAGTCTTCATCTTCTTCATAGTGAATTTGTTCGGTGTGCTCCATGGACGTAGCCCTAAGATTTGGGTGAACCATGTATATATCTTGTGTTATTGTGTGTGATTTTTTTTATTCGTTATGATTGTTTATTTATTCCTTGAATAACATTGTTTATTTTGCGTTTTTGCCATAATAATTGATATCAAATCCGGTTGATTATGTAGAACAACTCCAACAGTACTAGATATGTCCAACCCTTCAGTACAAAAATAACTTATTTTTCATATATACATAAAGAAGTATAAGATAAAACTTCAAACATATTATAATTATTTAAGGGTCTGTAGTGTAACTTTGTCCCTTACAGCAACTCTAGTGACAAAGTGTACACTATCACAAAAGGAATAGGTATATATACACACAAAAATTATTGCCAATCATCTAATGGCATTATAGTATGGTCCCTTTTACTACCATACTTAGCAGTAACAC